TTTGGTTGAAATGTCCCACAGGGAATGTATGTCATTTGAGGACAAGCATTGAAATCACAGGGATTTTTGAATTTTAAAGTGGTATCAAAGTATGTGCATCTACAATGTATCATAAATGACATACAATGCATAAAAATCCCTACAGTCAGGTGATATATTGGTGGGGTCCAGCGATCATGAGGGGCAGTCTGGCACTTAAAAGGCACGGTCCGACGATCACTAGGAGCCAGTCCGGCACTTTAAAGGAGCAGTCCGACGAAATTTTGGATCAATCCGGCGATTCTGGGGGCAATCCAGCATTTAGGTCAATGGAACACCCGGTTCAGCGTTCCTATAAAGGCAGTCCGGCGGTCAGGGCTTTCGGTCCGACGATTTGCTGTGTCAATCCGGTGATTGAACTCACTGGATATTCCAGTTCAGCAATCGTAAGGCGCAATCCGGCATAGTTTTTTATTAGTACGAAAATTTATGGGGGCAATCCGGCGACTAGGTCAATGCGGTGTTTTCTTCACTGGAACTGGCCCCGATTCGACATTATGAGGCATAGTCCGGCGCTTGGGCATGTTAGTCTGGCTTTCTTGTATTACAGTCCGGTGTTGTGCAATCTTGCAGTTTTTGGAGTAGTCCAGCATTTCATGTCACTAGCTGGTTAGGGGTCGAACCAGTTTTCTGTTAAAATGACGTTGTTTTGGCAAAAGTGGGCAAAATGGAATAACGACCGTTTTTTTGAAATGGAACCCGTTATTTGCAGCAAGTGAATCAAATTTTCTTGCTTTATTATTATTATTATTATTTATTTGATTTTCTTGCCATTTTTTGGCTTTTTTGTGTTTTAGTGTTTGTCAACCATTATTGATTGCCTATAAAACAAAAAAATTTCGAATCAAAGATTAAAAAAATAATAGGTCTTGGGGATTGAAGAGGCAAATTTTCTAACTTTTTGAAATTTCTGCCATTTTATCAATTTCTTCTCCAATAGGTAATGATTATTGATGAGATTTGAGAGTTTTGAATCATAATTGAATTGGTACCATATCCTTGTTTCAATTTGTTCAACAAACAAGATACATGGGGTTGAGTTTTGCTCGAAAATTTACTCGAATAACCCAAATTCGATCAACCATCTTTAATAGATAACGATTATTCATGAAATTTGAGGGTTTTGAATCATAATTGAATTGGTTACCATATTCATGTTTCAATTTATTCAAAAAACAATATATTTGGGGTTGCTCTTGGCCTCAAACTGTGCTAGTCGAAGAACTTGTGTTCGATCCAAAAAATAGATTTTGAATCAATTTATTGGTCTTTTTTGTCAAATTGATTTATGGATTTTGATCATCAAGACTTCACCTGTCATATAAATAGGTATGTTGATTTATAATTGAGTAAATTTTTTTATATGAATTTATTTATTGCTTGATGTCATGAAAATTTCATAGGTGTAAATTTTTTGCGATTTTTTAAATTAAATAAGAAATACCAAATATTTATTTATTAGATTTGGGGGGTTTGAAAGATGATGGAAGCCACTGCAAAGTTTTTGTATTGATTTGTTCGATTTTCTGAACATTGATGGTCGATTTTTCTTGAAATGTTGCTCGATTTTAGGGTTTTTGAGAAACCGATGTTTCAAAAAAAAATTAATTTTACTTAATATTATTATGTTAATAAATTTATTTTTTGATGATGAATATAGGAAGTGTTTTTCTATTTTTCTTACTAAAATTATATTTTTTTGATCAAAGTATGATTTTATGATAAAAATATGTTTTCTGATGAATATGACAAAAAAAATCGATTCTTCTCTTTTAAATGTTATATTTTTTTTCTAACAAACAAAAAAATAAGTGTCTGATAGCATCGGTCTTACTTTTGCTTCATTTTTTTTGTTCGATTTTTTTTTTTTTTAAGTGCATGATATAGTTATATTTGTAACAATGGAAATGGGATTGCAATTGCAATTGTTATAATAATGGAATTGCGATTGTAATTGTGTAATGGAAATAGGATTATAATTGTGTTTATAGAGGCATTCAAAAGTTCAAACTTTTTTATTATTAAAAAAATTTGATCTTACTTTTAAATAACTGTGTTGGATTCTGATTTTTCTTATGATCAATGATGTTAAGTTCCTTCTTACCATTTTCTTATACTATTTTCTTATTTTGTCATAAGGATTGTTGATATAGCAATTTACTTTGCTGCTCAAGTGATAAATGTAATCATGAACTGTTAATATGATTACTTCGAAACTTTTGTTGGAATAGAGAGACAAATAAAATATATTGGAAAAACACAAGAGTACCCTGACCCTCTTTACCACTCTCATTACTAGTGGGTATTGTTAGTTGGACTTTATGTTGATGGTTGATGTTTTGTATTATGACGAAATATATTTGCCAAGGTGGAATAAAAAAGACAATTCTGGAGGGCGTATAAAGGTATTTTTGTGATTTATACCATTTATCTGAGACGCAGATTACTTTGTAATCAGAGAGGCGTGAGAAAGAAAGCTTTTGTAACTCTATTTTCCATTACCAGTAAAGAAGTTATCATCTCTCTTGGAAGTAGGCTGAAGCACGTATATTATTGCGTTGTGGTTGATTATTTTTTTTTTTATTTGTTTGTTTCTTATTTTTAGCTTTCGTGGATTGCTTGTCGTTTTTACATTTTGTAACTCCATTAATTAAATTAATGTCAAATTATAAATTGTCTTGCATATCTCTATAGTAATAATATATTAATTTTTGTAAAAAAAATTTCAAATTTTTTTTGTAAAATAATTATAGGTAATAAGGTAATATACACTTAATCTAATTTTTTTTTTTAAACTTTTTTTGAGATTTTTAGTTTTTATTTTATTTTTAAAATCTACTGTACTGGTTAGTCTCGGTGACCGCCCAGCTAGTTTGATTCCGGTTCTAACCGCTTTCAGGCCGGTTAACTGTACCAGTTCCATTTTGTGAGCACTGCTTAAAACTGTGTGGATGGATGGGGTGTGCGCGAGTTTCCAATGAAAACTTGGGTGCGCGATATTAACACGTCAAAAACCAAAGCGAGGCCCTTTTTTTTTAAAAAAAGAAAATACCACTCATCATCTTCCCTTTCTGCGTGAAAGATCATTTTTTACCCTCTCCGCAATCTCCTCCTGAGCAAGAGCAACCGCTGAGCGTGCAAGAGCAGCAACCTCTCAATCAGTGAGTTTTATGCAGATTTTCTATTTTTTTCTCACTAATTCAGTTTTTCGGATTCTCTGAGAGTTTTTTTTAGGAGACCCTGTAAAAACATTTAGAGCTTTTCTTATTTTTCTCTGTTGTAAATCTGCCCTAAAAAAAATGTAGGGCTTTCTCAATTTTTCTCTATTGTAAATCTCTTGGATTTTATTCTGTTTTCTGGTTTCTTGCTCCGTTTCAATTTATACACAAGTGAACAAGATAATCTGATGCATTTCCTTCATTCATAATATTGGATTCCCCCAATGCATGTAAAAAATCAGCAACCTTGATTCATAAATTTATGTATTGGTATTCTAGTTTACTGATTCTAGAGAGCTACAATAGTTCTCCATTTCGTGGCTTGAAATGGGAGCCACGATATTTTAGTTTACAGTATGGAACTTTCATCTCTTGCTACTGTCCCTCCATAACGAATTTTTTTTTCTCATTGTGGATTGGATTTCCTCTGTTTATTTGGTGGTTTTTGGTGATGTTTGGTACATAACGAAGCTGAATTTTGCCGTCATTTCTTCAAAATGGAATAGATGAAAATTTTGTTTCCCTTTGTCTCTCGTCTGTCCTTTTTCTTCCATCCTCTCTCTATCTCTACCCTCACCTACTCCAACATCTTTCCTATCTCCATCCTCTTTCTATCTCTACCCTCACCTACTCCAACATCTTTCCTATCTTCAGTTCTCTCTCGAACCTTTTTTTCACCTTTTCTTCATTTGCAGCGAGAGATACAGAGAGAGAAGGCTAAGCAAGGGCAAAATCGGCAAGAAGAGAAATTATAGAGAGAAAGGGCATGTTGTTTGAACTTTTCAATAGAGAGAGAAAGAATTGGGATCAATTTTGATTTTATGAGTTTTTTAGATTCATTGAAGAGTTGGTTATAGTGAGAAAGACCTTGCTTATCAATAGATCCTGGTGTGGCAGTAATATGTTTTTTTTCTCTCTAGGATTTAGTCAATTGTAGATTGATGTGTGATTTTGTCGCAGTATTGAGAGAAATTCAAGGATTTGTTTAATTTGACATTTGAAGATTTTTTAGATTGATTGAAGAGTTGGTTATGGTGAGAAGACCTCGCTTGTCAATAGATCCTGGTGTGGCAGTAATATGTTTTTTTCTCTCTAGGATTTAGTTGATTGTAGATTGATGTGTGATTTTGTCACAATATTGAGAGAAATTCAAGGATTTGTTCACTCTGACAATTGAAGGAGGGTTAGACAGAAATTCAGGATCTTCGAAATAGATGATTGAAGAGAAGAGTGTTGGAGTTTAGAAAGACTATAATTGATTTGCTAATTTGAAGTTGAGAGCTGAGATTATTTTTCTCTTTGTAAGGTTGTCAAAAAAACAAAACAAGGAGAGAAAATGTTTGAGGCAAACAAGGCATTCTGACGGTCTCTCTTCTTGCTCACTAATGGAGGATGTCGCTCTCACTTTGAACAACTTCCTCTCCAAAAAAGTTTAGAGAATGTTCCTATATTGCCTGTTTGTATGTTCATCACTATTGGGATGCATCCATATCGTCCTTTGATATCTTTTATGATATCTGGATCATTATTTTGCTTGAAGTTGGATTTGAATGGCTGAAATTGCTAGGAAAAAGCCCATTGTTTGCCTGGAGTTCACCTAACATAGGGTTGTTGCTTAGACCTATGTTCATTTGATCCATGAGAGCTTAGAAGCTTCAAGTGTATGGCTAGACTTATTCAAATTGTGTCATTTGGCCATGTTATAAATTAGTGGTATGTTACAACAATACTATGGGTTGTCATACTTTTGTTGCATTCAGTTTTGAAGAATGAGTTTGTTAGTATTCTTTCTTTGTTCATGGGTAAGGGAGCCAACATAGTATTTAGGAATGAAAATGGTGTGGGCTCCAAATTCTATATTCATTTCATTTTATTTTTATTCGTAATCTCATGTCCTCTTTAATATCCGACAAATTTGTGTTGAAGAAGCCATTTTCACAAGTAGACGCACTTATATCATGTGATAGTTAATTACGATTAACCATATGAAGCTAACAATATATTGTTAATAGTATTCCAAAATTTTGATTTATTAAGTTCGCTTTGTAAAATCATGCAAACTCTTCTAAAACAGTGGTTGCTTCCATGTAAGAACCTCTTATTAACAGGGAATTCTCAATTCTGAAAATTTTTTGTTGCAATCATTTTCTTCAAGGACCAAGTATTTCACATGATGCCTTTGCTGCCTGTGCATTGAGTGAAATTTTGACGCTAAGAAAATCAATTTTGTTTCTTATTTATGTAAATATTGGTTGCATCAGAGGGGCTTCACACCTTTATGAAGCACAAAAGTATTCCTTAAATCTATTTACATGTTTGCTATTATATTGGATGAATGGAAGGAACCTTATTTAATTACAAAATACTATTAAAAAATTGCATTTCGCACATCATATCAGTGAAATACATAATTACTAATATTCCAGGTAGTTTCCAGCTTTCCCATTGCCAAATAGGTGAAAGTACTAGCACCGCAGTCTATCAAATCAGGTTTCACCTTGCCAATTTTCACATGCATCTCGTAATCTAGGAAAGTTAGTAGCAGGGGTGATTCCCAGGGAGACAGCAGTGAAAGTTATCAAACGCCACCTAAAAGTATTGGGGGTAGGATGTCTACAAAGTTATTTTTGAGAGTATCTATAAAAAAATTTCCCCAGTTTAAATCGCCTGAGAGTTGTCGTATGCAGAGAGAGAGAGA